AAAGCTCACGAACATCACCTTTGGTGAGGTAATACACAACTTTACTTTCTGAATACACAGAGCTTTTGTCTATTAGTCAAGCTTACTGACTTAGGCATCGAAGAGGTTTTCGGCACACACCCGCCGGCTAGCTCACGTTTGTGTTTTCAGGTGACAAAGCGACGACGTACAGAGGAACGCAGACTTGATCAATAGGATTATACGAGAAGGTTTATTTCTTTCCCGTACATTTGTTGTTTGTTTTCTTTTGTTATTTGGTTGGGCTGACCTTTTGGGATTTTATTTATGTACTCTTGATACTTTATCAATATATTATTCCCATGTTCTAAAAAAAACAAAAATTACTATAGTAAACTTATTTAAAATTACACAAACATGAAATCATAACTGTTGTGTAGAAAATAAAAATAAAAGAGGAGAGAGATGAGGAATGAAAAGAGATAACTGAGAAAAAGAAAAGAAAAAATGGAAAGCAAAGGTGCTCAGTGTTGAAATTTCTTCAGGCGGGAAATTTATTTTTTGGTCAAGCAAATCTCACCGTTTAGAAATGAAAAAATAACTCGCGGTTCGAGCCTAACTTGAGACCCTAGACCAAGGTTTGGATCATCATTTTAAAGCTCGGTCTGGCCCGGCCCGTGACAAAACCCATCGGCCCTTAAGACCCACTCAAGGCCTGACCCGAGATTCGGCCCACATGAGGTCCTGTGTCTTTTTTAGTGAAAAATAATAAAATTTTGATAGAAAATTTTTTTAAAAAAAACAAAAAAATTTGTTCAAGCTCGAGCCTAAGCCCATGCCCAGGCCCACCGGCCCAACCATGGGCCGGGCTGGGCCAAATTTACACCCCTACACCATTAATCTCATATAATTCGTACCAATTATATGATAGAGATATTTTCAAAAATCATTCTATTTTATTATATAGATTTTTTCCCCCAATTTATCTTTACTTTTTAAATCACTTTCTAAATTCATAATCCAAACATAACATTAAAGTAATATTTCGTTTTATTTATGTTGTAATACTAGTCTAATCTCATATATATTATTAAAAATAATATTTTTTCCATAAGAATTTGTTTTTTTCTAAGAAAGTCACATCAGTATATATTTTCTTAATTACATATTGAGTTCTACACTAACTCAAATCTAATTTAAATTATACTAACTTTACCTATTTTATATAGACTCTATTTGACAAATATTTCTTTTCCATATATTTTTTTTATCCTTTTTCTTCTTATTTTTTCAAAGGTATTAGGATTTTTTTTAATGCTAGATTGTCCCCTTTTTTTTCTTCTTATCTTCTTGCGCATTATTCTATACCTAATACCAATTCTATATTATTCTATATTATGAATTTTTCATATATTTTTTTATCGTTTTTCTTAATTCTTCCAAAGGTATTAGAATTTTTTTAATGCTAAATGGCCCCCCTTTTTTTTTCTTCTTATTTTTCCGTGCATTATTTTATACCTAATACCAATTCTATATTATGGATTTATCATTTAAATTTTATAATGATTCTATATATGAAATTATACTTCATTTTCTACATTATTTTATATAATCACAACTCACAGGAAAAAAATTTTGCACAACAATGATACTCTCGATGAATCTCTAAAGTTTGGATTTACTGTTTAAGTTACTTTTTCAATTGTTGAATAGTAAGTTCTTTTATATTTTAGTATCATATTACAGATGATTAATCACTTCATACACTAAGATGTATCTATCATTTGGATATTTTCATTATTTTTTCTTTTTAAGTTAGATGTTATTATGTGATTCTTTATTAATTAGCCGTTGTTAAATTTTTTTTATATGGTTGATATTTTAATTTAATTAAGACTATTTAATTTACAATCTTATAATTTAATATATATATATATATATATATATCATATAAAATGATTATATAATAATTTAACTACAACATATTTATATTTAATTTTTTTTAGAATTACTTTTAATTTTATGTTACTAATTCTTCTTCTAATTTAACTATTATTTTTAATATTAAAATGAGTATTTATTTTACTATTTTATAATTTAATATACATCATACAAAATTATTATATGATAATTATATTTTTCTAATGCGATAGAACTAAAATTATCAAAATATACAAATAATTTAACTAAAATAAATTAATATATATAAGTATTCAAGTAACAATTTTATAAAACGACAACGCCAATATTATCAAAATAAATAATTAAAATCATATTTTAATTTTAATTTTAAATTAAAATTAAAATTATTCTTTTATAACACACATTGTACTATCATTTTATTTTATTTTTTTATTTTTTAAAAAAAAACACTTGCATTACACTAGTCAACTGCTAGTTATCTTTAAAAATTAACATAAAATGATGAATTTTATTATTTAAATTAATAAAAACCAAGTTAAAATACCATATAAATTTTTTGTAAAAAAAAATTCATAAATATTATTTTTTTTTATCGAGAAAATTGGTGATAAATCAAATCTAAGAAATGTACAAGGCATTAGATCCAGTAAATATTTTTTTTTGGTGAGAAGTCCATCCTTTGTAAAATAATTTGATGAAAAATCTTAGAGAACATTTTATTTCTAATTTTACCTCTGGACTTCTTCTTTCTTTTCTTTTCTTTTTTTATTATCTATTTGACTTTTCATTGACTATCTATTCAAATATTTTTTTTATATGTTCAAATTTATATCTATCTATTTAAATTTTTTCTATCCCAACTTTTCTATCTGTTTAAAATTTATCTGTTCAATAGCATCGATTTGTTCTCATGTAGTGGAGATTCACAATCTTTACGAATCAAAACCAACTACTATTGAGGGATACAAACTATACACAATATTTTCAAAACTTTTTATATGTTTAAACTATCTATTTCATCTTCATCTTCATCATCATCGTCATCATCAACAACAACAACAACAAAATAAAAATAATAATAATAAACACATTACAGTAAGGATGTATTGAACAGATTTGTTCAATATTTGTTCAATTTTTTTCTTGAAATTCTTATGTCTATTAGTTGACCCTCCAAAAAAATTTATCTGTCCAAACTATATGTTTAGATCTGAGCCATCTCCAAACCTTAGCAGATCTCAGCTCAAAATAGAGATAGATAAAATAAAAAAACAAACAAACAAACAAATCACAAAAAAGAATTCAACATCAAAGTCCTTCAACATCTTTGTCTCTCAAGTAATGCCTAGAGACAGCGTTGTGGTGGGGGAGGAGTGCTAATATTTCTACGCAGTAATAGATTGAGTCCTCCTACTGAAATCCACTAATGCCATGTTTGTTTGGGCGGACTGGATTAGCATTCCCATGACTAATAGTCCTAAGACTACGAATCCGTTGGATTATGTATCCTATCTTAACTAATAGTCAAGTTTAAAATAATTAGTTCGTACTTCAATAGTTTAACCAAACATCGGATTAGTAATTTTATTGGACTATTAGTCCAATCTCAAGCTCATGTCCACCCAAACAAATATAACCTAAAGGTACTTACATAAATACACAAATACACAAAAATAGATACATATATATATACACACACACATGTATGAAAGAATAAGCAGAGGGGTTTTACCTTGAAGCAGAAAACGGGATGGATCTAAACTCCAACCGCTACTCCACCACCGCCACTGCACACGGCGTTGACATGAACTCATCTTTAAGAAAGGCAGATCTGAGGCTTTTGATGAATTGGAGGAGCTTGTTGCGGAGGAGATCATTGGGGCTTCGATCTCGCCGCAACTGGCGGAGATCGCTGCAGCGTTAGAGAAGAGAAACGGAGGCGAAGTTCTGGAGTAGATGACGATGCTCAACGTTGCTTATCTGTCACTAGAATGTTCCGACGCGGAGGTGTTGGAGCTTCGACAGTGCGGTGCCACCAGAAACACTACCACCACCACAGGTGTCGGCGGCGATGGAGGTGGTGATGTCGGAGATGAAAAGGAGAAGATAGAGGGAGAAGAGAGATGTTTAGGGTTTGGTTGAGAGAGAGAGAGAGAGAGAGAGAGAGGACTTTAATTTCAAAGGAGAAAGAGTTCTATATATAGAGGGGTATTTTGGTCATTTTGCTGACAAATTGTTTCAGTGTCTAGACCTTTCACCAAACAAAATTAAACCAAACAAAATTAAAATATAAACTTTTGACCTGAGTGCCCCTTCTTATCTTTATGCTACCTAATCATTTGCTAGCATGGAGCAATTTTTTCATGCGAGGGAGGGAAGGTATGGCTAAGGTGTTACCATCCCTTTTAAGGTTTAGAAAGTAGGATTGATGTACGAAGACACGACTTCTGTGATTGATAGGAGGCAACACACGTACAATTGGCTCATATGCTAATAAAGAAGTCAAATAATATTATTATTGTTATTAGCATTAGCCAGTAAAACTCAGCATCATAGGCCACTACATAATAAAAGAGCATATATGTTATCCCTAGTTCAACCTAGCCCATCATTTGACTTTAAAAAACTTTCAAATTCTAAATCCATTCACCTAATTCAAATAAATGGACTATTATTTTATTTTTATTTTTTTTGTCTTGGAGGACATATAAATGAATTTGACATTTAATGAATAATTATTATATGAATTTGGGACATTGGCCATTGCGATTAGCAAATGTTTGGATTTAGATCTTCTAACAAATGTTTTTTAGTACAAACCATAGAAAGAGGTTCTTATTTTATTTTTCTAATTTATTGTTTAATTAAATAATGTACAATTTTATAAATGGGTGGAGGAAGGTGGGTCAAAATACCTCATCTCAAGTCCATCTGGAAAAACAAAAAGACTCAAAATCTCAGCCCAACCGATTTTATGAGCCAAATTTTTTCTATATCCTAAAAATATCAGAATGGCAGGCCACTGAGCTAGTAGCCACCCTCTTTAACAGCGATAGTTTTCAGCCACTACTAAATCCTAAAATAGATATATATTTATGTTAAAAGGATGTGTGCAAAACTTGATCACAGAAGTCTTGATAGCTGTCCACATTTATGAGTTGTAATATATCAGTTGAGGACTATTATGAAACCATAAAAAGCAGTCAAAAAAATTCCCACAGAGAACAACTGGAAAACACTAGATACACTTGACAGAACTATATTTATTCAAAGAGATTGAAGCTTTTGTCTTCTTTTGTTCATGTTTGTGCTTCATTTCCTCTCAAGGCTCTAACAACATTCACAGGAGAACACAAATTCTAGCATATCACTTCATAGACTGCTTCCAAAAACATTCAAAACATTTTGATAGACATCAGAAGCATATACCTCTAGCCCTTCAGCCGCAGCAGGAACCACAAGCAGGAAGAGAACCTGTGAGTTTAGCAAAAGAAATTTAGTTTTTTACATAGGTAAAAGAGAAAACATTATAAATACAACCAAAAAGAAAACAAGGACTCACTATGATCAATTCCGCGAACGTTGTCTAATCCACGAGGTGGACCACGTGGACCACCACCATATGGGCCGCCGCTTCCAGGACCACCTGGACCCCCACCATCCCATTTCTTCCCAGACGCTGAGCCTTTTTTATAAGCATCTGATTTTTCCATCTGAAAGCATTGAAGGTTCGGAGAAGATGAGAATCTGACATCCAAGGTAGGGAGGAAGAGAAGTATTGAAATCAACTTACCGAAAACATTGTTGCAAAGAACACACCAATGAAGTTAACAATGGCCCAGAAGAAATCAGTGATTGTTCTCAACCTCCATATGGACCGCTTGGATTTCACAACACCTGAGGGCATATATAAAATCATAAATACAGTTTGCAGAATAAAATTCCAACCGAAGAATAAATTTAGTGACCAAAAAGGGCAGTCCCAGTGGACGAGAGTACCACGTTATAGGGTTTGAGGATGTGAATTCCAACCACGGCACCCCCTCCCACCCAACCAGAAAATTAAAAAATGGCCAGGAAAAACAACAAAAGGAAAAAATATTGAAAAATAGTGCAGACACAAATAATGTTTGTAAGGATAATCCAAATCATAAATCAGTTACGCAAAACTCCATGGCCCTTTTTTTGCAACTCAATGGGAAGACAAATATATTAATGTCAAGCCGTACAAATTAATTAGGGTGTATTTGGATCATAGATTTGAGTATTTTTGGAACTTTTCACTTCCCTTTTCCTTTCCCCCCACAAATTACTACTCAAATCAACAATCCAAACACAGACTTAAAGAACATATTGCCTTGCGAGATTTAGACCACTGTTTCGCCAATAAAACAGTTCAAAGAAAAAAGCTCTAAGGACAATCTTTTTATGACATGGTAAGCATCAGATAACAAAGAACTAGCATTCTCTGGTCACCAATAACACAAATATCAGTAGACACAATAAAGACAAAAGCATGATTTCATTAAGGAGAAGGCCCTTTATTGTCTTGAATTTCTTTCCCAAGTTTCTAGCTAAATTAACAAAGCCTCATATCTACAAAGAAATAACTGTGTGTGGCAAAATAAAACTAAAACAAAAGAGTACTTGAAATCATCAAAAACAATTTGAGGGGGAAAAAACATCACTAGAAAGTCAAGGAGACTTCATATAGATAAAGGGGGGGGGAGGGATAAGTTAGCAAAAAAAACATACAACGAAAAAAACAAAAAAGAGAGAAAAAACAATGAAAACAACAACAGAAAATGAAATGAAAAAATAAAGAAAGAAAGGTGAATGAATAAAAAAAATAAGGGGGGAAAAAAATGATCACAATCAGCCAAGTATAGCCAACACCAGCCCATAGAAAGGACAATAATTTCACCAATCTTTGCGGGGTAAGACACACAAGGCTTGCTTGTCTTATTGAAAAAAAAAAAAAATCACAATCAGAATCAACCAAGTATAGCCACCACAAGGCTTCTTTTGCCTTATTATAATTCTAGACTTAACATCTGACCATTACAAGCAAGGCCAAGTGTTTACAATATCAGGATCATTTTGAAGCCCATTCTAAGACACACAAGGCGGACACCATACCCAATTGAATCAAATCTCAAACCTGACCACAGCATAAGCTAAACAAGAAGAAGCTTATCAAGATTAGCCAACTCAACAAGACTTGAATTCAGCTCACTCTTACGGCCAGTCCAAAACCCACTTCTGGATTTAAAATTATTTTTACGAATTTTTGAACTGATAAAAACAATTATCAACTCTGGTATCAGAAGTTATTCCTACTATCTATAACTTCAGTGAATTTTCCCAGTATGGTAGCAAATCAATTAGGTGTTCCATCATCCAATAAGGCTTACATTGTCGAGTTTTATTTGTAATTGAGTTTTCAACTCAGCTGGGTTAGCATATTGAAACCCTAAGGGCTTGTTTGATTGGGAGAATTATAGCATAAGATTGGGATTATTGCTTATGGGACTCACATTCCATTTCTTAGATACAAATTTTATTATTCAGATTAGATTCCAATAGCCATTCTACCCTACAAAATTGACTGAGATTATATATCTTCATATATATTGCAAAACAAGTGTGGCATCTCACTAATCCAGCTGAATAACCAATCTTACACTAATCTCATAAATTGTTAATCCTACACTAATCTCATGAATTGTTAATCCCCTTACTATTAATCCTGCTAATCAAACAAGCCCTAAACATAGTCAATTGTGAATACCTGCCATCCAATTCATGCTACAAGATAAATATCATTTAAATAAAATCCTAATTATAACAAAAATTATCACTTAAAATTCATTATATAAGAATGATTGCAATCTAAACAAACTTTTCAAACGAAACACACAATTAAATGATTAATAAACCCAGATTTGTTAACTTATACAATATTCTGATTAACAGATCCCTAGATTCAAAGAATCGATATCATTTGAAGAAGAGAGATCAGTATTTGGATCAATCAAGCAACTATAAAAACACAATGTTGAGAAATAAAACCAGTTGGACTTGTAGAGAGAGATAAATAGAGAATTAGGGTTACCTCTCTCGACATAACCCATTGAAGCTTCTCGTTCGTTCCGGGTCGCCTTTCGGTCTTCGAAGATGATCCCGGTATGTATTATATAGCCGTGCAAAAATTATTCCCTGCCACCAACCCCATTGGCACAAACGCACTCAAACCACTAATTCTCATACCATTGACTTTTGTGATAGATCCAAACCATTCATTTGTGTAGGGCCATCACACAAACTAAAACAATTTCAAACCTAGCCACGCGCCATGTGAGAGGTTTAATAAAATATTTACTAATTCTTTTGATCCTAGCATAACTTCTAAGTGGCTGTTTAGAAATTTATTATTTTAATAAGTTATTTTAATTTTTAATTATTTTAGTAGGTTTAAATTTTTATATTTAGAAAAATATTTAGATTTTTTTTGGAGGCAGCCGTAATATTTGTGAGAGAAAAAGTGAAATGATTATAAATTTGATATAATATTTTATTTTATTAACTATTTTAATCTATTTTATCTTTTTGTAAATTTTAACTAAAAAAAACTAAAATCTACTTGCAAAACACCCCTTAAATAAATATGAATGGCAACAGATTGGATTTTGCGTGCACATTTTCATTTTTAAATTCAGCTAGTACTGGTTTGGCTATCATTTTGGGGCTAAAAAAGTAAAAAATAACAAAATAAGTTAATAAAATAAAATACCGCATTCAATTTATAATTATTACATTTTTTCTTTTACAAAAGTCAAAAAAAAACAAAAAATTCAAACCAAATGAGACTAAAAAAAAACAAGTTAAAAAAGTCTCAGCATAAAAAAATTAACTATATTAACTAATGGCAAACGAAGCTTTAACATATAATTTCTTATTTCACTTGATCTTGATAGTTTTGACCTTACTCTTCTAATTTTATCTTTACCATATCAATGTTTTCACAAACGTTTTTAATTAAAATTGGACTGGAATAAATATAATTACTTTTGCCATTTCTAATTTTAAACAAAACTTATTCACAAAAATATTTTTAAAAATTTATTGTGGGCTTAGGTCCCATTTAGGAATAAACTATTTTAGTCTAAAAATTAAAAAATTATTATAAGTTGTCACTTTACTTTCTATTATTTTTTTTATTTTTTTTTTGGGTACATTTTCCTTAAATTCATTTCACATGTAAATTCACAATACATAAACTAAATTTGAAACATATAATAATTTTTGGGACAATTATAAAAAATAAGAAAATCTCCCAATGTTTGACCCTTATAACAAAATAAATCTGAATTTTTAATTTTGTTAATTTAAATCTTAATTGTTTGATTAATTATTTTAATTTAAACCATTTGTCTTTATTTTTGTTAAGTAAAACCGACGAAAAAATAATATTTTAATCATTAAGCTCAATATACCTATACACAAAATGTCTAAAATACCCTTCTCAATATGCCTATTTTTTTGTTGCAGGATTCACAAATAAATAAACGGCCATGTAAAAAACAATCAATTCATTTTGGATTTATCAAATGAAAAAGAAAAAAATATTCATGTCTATTTTTTTAAAATGATTGTAAATGTTTTGTGGAAAATTCTTTCAGTATACATTGCATACCATATGCATGCGATTTTATTATGTAATTTTGTAATTTTATAGTTTTGAGTAATATATGATTGTGAAATAACTTATGTAATTTCGTAGAAACTACTGTAATTTTGTAAATTTCAAAAATTTTATAACTAAACTTATACGAATTTCCTTTTAAATTAAGATTACTTATATAAATTCGTAAAAACTTGATTTTATAAATTGTTTGCACAATAAGTGATCTAATAATAAGTGACTCACGCTTCCCATGTTTTGCATACTATATAAATAGTAGTTCTATATTATCACAAAAATGTCCAACCAGAATTTCTTCAAATGTATCCTGAATTCATTTGAGATGTTTGTAAAACATTACAAAGCTAGAAAAGTGTTGCATCCATCTCAAAAACATCATAACCATAAAAGCTAAATAACTATCAAAAAGTGTAGTGGCCTAACAAGAGGACACGACGAATTACAACAAATCTAACACTTGACAACCGAAGATAAAGGAAACGATGAAACAAGACCACCGACCATAATTTTTCCGATATATTCCAACTCAACTTCATTCTCTCCTGAGACAACTCCTAAAATTAGTTAAAGGTATACTTACGCCGCTCACCGATCCACCAATTATCTCTATTAGAAGTTACTCATGCCGTCTGACTTGTAATTAGCAGCACTTACATCGAACACCTGCAGATTAAAAAATTACCAATTCATCATTCACTAGTAAAAAATTGCATCCTTTGTACATATCACTAGTTATAACACTAAAACATAACTACCATTTATATAGCAGTAACATTTCTCAGATATACGACAGAGACTCAAAAAACTACTTGCAGGGAATGTATATCATATTGTTCAACATATTTGTAGTAACATGAGATCCTGATGTTCCCTTCAGTGCATCCTAACCACCACCTCACCCTCACCCAACCCTCCCCCGCCACCCCCACCCTCAGTCAACCAAACCTCAGCCTCCCCCACCACCAAATCAACCATCAACCAAGACCATGTTCACCATTGCAACCAACCGAATCAACCATCCTCCAAATAACCACAAGTTTACCACCCAAAATAATAATAATAATAATAACAATAATAATTCAACAGACGAATCATAAGAGACGGATTCCACACACAAGCAAGAGACCATCAAGAAAGCACCACACCGAGCAATTAACGCATCACCATCAACCATCAAGCCCAGCCCTCTTTCCTCCCTCTACTTTTTATTTTTCCCACATCACAGCATCTTATTATTTTAGGGTTGGGGATCAGGTTGAGGTATGGGTTTACTGGAGTTCAGTTTGGGTTATTAAGATATAAATTGGTATTGTGAAATTTTTTTATGTTGACAGTCATCAAAATTCGGAAGTTGACAATGAAACCTCAAAGTGAAATGTAATTTTCAGAATGTGAGGAAGTCAGTTGTGAATTTTATAAACCTCAGATATTTGTAATTTATCCTTCTACGGAAAAAAAAAAAAAAATCTTGAACAGATGAACATTTCTACCTAACTCAATTTCCTGCTTGATACTTCTTAAACAATGACAATCAACATGGGTAATATGACAATCAAGACAAACAATGACAATCAACAAAAAAGAAAAACAGAGAATAATATCTCAAGATTGCACATTCTTTTGGGCATTTAGGATTTTCAGCATTTAAAGAATACAAACATTATGTTCTTTTATCCTCAGAAAACAAAAGTAGATGAAGATGTATTCACAAAAGCATAAATCCACCAAAGAAGGGGAGGGGGGAAGAAGAAGAAAAGGCATATCACGACGCCCACAAACAAGTTCTTGCAAGAGATTACCTTCTATAGGACCTCTGCCTCAACCATGGGTAATGTTCAGTGCTTCTTTTTACTCTTAGATTTGGAGGGGATTTTTCCATATGCCATAAGCCTCGATGTTGATAGTTTAAGTTCAGCTTGACGATGCCTTCTCTTGCTTCGTCTAGATAGATTGCTCATATCACCATTTGATTCCTTCACTTTTGCTTTCTCCTGTTCCTTGTAAACTGCCACTGTAGTTGATTTCTTATCATCAATTTTCAAGTTTTTACCAATTTTCTTGTCATTCAATATATTGCCTTGAAGAAGCAGCTTATTCCTCTGTTTTTGGTTCAACACCTGATTTCTGGGCACCTTCCATTCCTTCTCCCTATAAGGAGCAAGTTTCTTCAACGAAACATATTGATTCAACTCCTTCTCATCCAGCATTAAAATCTCCTCAGTAGTTAGTCCATATCGTTTAGCACCAACATCTCTGTACTTAAACCTTGTCTTCAAGTCCCCTACTGTATCCTCGTAGTCCAATTTATAGTACTCCTCCAATTCTTTATCAAGGATTTCCTTCTCCAGCTTAGACATTTTTGGCTTCTTCTTCCTCTTATCCTCTTCAGGCACTTCTTCTTCTATCTGTTCATGGAGACCTTCATTTTCTGCCCTGCGCTTCAAGTTTCGTTCCCTTGCAGCTAAGAACCCATCACCAGAAATAGATGTATCATCCCAACCTTTTGGAAGTCCAAGCAACTCATCTTCTTTATCAAAATCTGGTTTTTCAAACTCATCACCATCTTCATCCCTATCACTCCCAAACTCAGGGTCTGCATCATCCGCATCATAGTAATCATCATTAAATGCTTCTTTCATCTTTCTATCATGCTCCTTGGGATCAAATTCCTCTTCCAGATCATCTTCATCCAATGGGCAAACCCAATTTTCATCAATCCCCGCAGTATCCCTTATCTTCCTAAGTTTCTCCCTCATTTCTTTCTTCTTCAAATTCTTCAAATGCTTCAATTCCTCCTTCCTTTCGAATTCAGCTTGTGCCATCCTCTCCTCCTTGCTCTTCCTCTACAACTTCCGAGCATTAGTTTTCTTCCTCACTGATCCCTCTACAAACCGTGAATGACCCAACACCCTATCCCCCGCATTCTCCTCAAACCTAAAATTATACTCCCTTTCATAATCCTCTTGCTTCTCAATCTCCTCCTCATCCTCTGAAAAATCTGAAACCACATCATCCAATGCCTTCTTGCCCTTACCCTCATCAACCCACATCTTGTTCCTAAAAAACTTCTTCAAAAACATTTCATTCTCATTCAAATGGTCATCTTTGCCAAAATACTCATCCAATTTCTTCTGAACCTCACCAGCATCACTATCATCCTCATCCCCCATACTTTTACTCGCTTTCAACCTCAACAATTCTCCATCATCATCACCATCCAAAGCCTCCTCGGCCACCTCCAAGAAAGCCCTCCTGAACTCCTCTTGCTCCTCCAAATAGCTCTTCACTCTCAACTTGTCTACTTTCTCTTCAAATTCTGGCCCCTCCTCAATCAAGTGCCTCGCTGCCACATCCTTCAAATACATTGGCTTCCCCTTCTTATCTCGTTGTCCTTCCTCTCGTTTCCCGTGCTCTTCTTCTTCTTCATTTTCGGACTCGAATAGCTTAGCCTCTTTGTTTTTCAGTTTTGGGTCGTGGTTCTTAACCTTAATCAACGCATTTAAGAACTCCAAATCTTTCTTCGGATTAATTAACTCATCTTCGTCTGATTCATCAGAAGATGCCTCGTCACCAGACTTGTTATCTGAGGAGTCTTCAACGAGGCCTTTCTTCTTCAACTCCTCGAGCTTCTGCAGGTCCTCTCGCTTCTTGTTGTGCTCATAGCGACGAGCGAACTCTTTGTTGACTTCAATCTTCGATATATCTTCGTCCGAACCATTGCTGCCCTCGAATAGCTTCATACCCATTTTGGTCTAGATTCGACAATAACAGAAGCACAAAGAAGAAGCAGGTGGCAGCACAAAATAATCAACAACGAGCAGCAAATTCTTCCCAAGCAACAGCAACCAGCAACAAATTCTTCCCAACAGCCTCACACCTGCAATGTAAAGAAAGGGAAAAAAATCAATTAAAAAATAGCTTTTAATTATCAAATCTGTTAAAAATAATAAAGTTAAAATGAAAACCATCAATGTCACCCAATGTCACGAATACATGCAACCACTTGTGAATGTATTGGCATAATCATACCAGAAATATTTAACTCATTCAACTTCTTATTGATACACCAAAGCAGAGAACTATATAATCACAAAGAGGTAACAACAATTACAAATAAAAAATATTAATAACAATAAAAATAAAAAACTAATTGGAAGTATTATATGAGTTGATAAAATGGGCTGGAAAAATGTAAAACTTTGAAAACCAGGTGGTCAATTGACCAAATAATCACGCTGATAGACATTCAAAAGAATTTTTATTAAGGAACCATTTTGTCAATTTAGTGTTCAAAAATTCAAGACGATTAACAACTTCAACCCATTTGATTGTAATCAAGTATTTGAACGTGGTTAAAAACTTCCTAAAATGTTACAGGAAAAATACTACAAAAGTGAGAACATTAGGCCATTGGAAATTATTTAAACCAGCTGGTCTTTGGTGAATTTGATGAACTCAGTGGGATTCATTAATTGCTAGCTTAAGACAGAGAAGGACTGCAGGAAAGTGACAGAGATAAAGACGATTAAACAACAAGAAAGTTGGGTACCAAATCAAATCTGCATAACCAAGTACACTAATCATCAGTGTGTTTGGTTTGAGTTTTTTGGATTATGTTTTTTAAAACCTGAGTTTTTTGATTTTCGTGTTTTTTTGTTTTTAGTGAATACTTTTAAAATTTTAAACATTTTTTTTACTTTTTTAGATGCACCTTACTTCAATATATCTAAAAAGTAAACAATTTGTGAAAAAATATTTTAAAAAATTAATAAATACATAAAAATACAAATAATATATTGAATTCTCGTATTTTTTTTATATTTTTGGTATTTAGTAAATTTTAAAAGGTTTTTTTTACAAATTTTTTACTTTTTAGGTATATTTATGTTAGGTATGTCTAAAAATTTTAAAAATTGTTTAAAATATTAAAAAAATTTAGTAAAAACAAAAAAATACGGAAAACAAGAAAGTAAAATTTTCTCAAAAGTGTTTTTGGAAAGGAAAAAGCTTGGTAGCTCGAATCCTTTGAGCTTGACTGGCCCGAAATTTTGAAATGCAAATTTCCAGATTTTCTCTCTCCTCATAGTGAGTCAAATATGATATAATATATCAATATTTTCTCTCTCCTCATACCCTGTTTTCTGTCTCCCTCTATTTGAAATCAAAAACCATTGAAACAAAAGCTCTTCTCAACGCCATAAGACGCCAAGCGAGGGTCCACAATCTGCAATTACTCAACTAAACATAATCAACCATCAACCCCATCAATTAAGATGCTAACATTGTCCTTGGTGATGGCGGATTGGTTGGGAATGGGAATGGCCTCTTCCTTGAGGGAATGGACGTAAGCAATTTTTTCAACAAAAGGAATGAGCAAGTGAATTCCAAGAGTGAGAGTCTTCACGTATTTGCCGAATCGTTCGACCACATAGGCCTTCTTCTTAGGGACTATCCGGATGCCCCAATTTATAGGAGGTGGAATTTCATAACTTTTTTAACTCGTAACCACCAAAATCACAAACCAAACCATTAGACATTATTATTGAACAACTCTGTGTTTTTTTATAATTTTATTTAGACCTACCTCATACAGGGATTGCGAGAGGTGCAGAAATGGCAGAGGGAGGAGGGGAGGGATTGAGGAGGAAGTGGAGAGAGATGATTGAATGAAGATGAAATGGAGAGGTCTTTTTCAACTGTGTTTATGTGTGTTTGGGGGAGAGAGAGACAAAGACAGAGGGAAAGTGGTGAAGAAAGAGAAGGAGGCCTGGGTTTCTTGACTCTGTTCTGTTCTTTCTTTTCTTGTCTTTTCTTTTTTTTTTCTTTTTTTTGGAATTGAAATGAGAGTTGAGTGGAGCACACGCACACACCAGATAGAAACTCAAAATCGGGCCACTTGAGCCACAACCTATTCGAGCTACGTAGCAGAGCTATTTTGGAAAACTCTAACCAAGTTTGTCCTTGCACTTTTGTCACGTATATTAATCTTCCTTTATTCACTTATGTAATTACTAGTCGAATTTATCAAGTGTAAACATTGAAAGGCACTTAGACGGACAAGGAGGGATTCATACAAATCAATCAACTAAACAACTCTAAAATCCAAAGCGTTAATTCCAACCGTGATGCCATAATTACATCATAAATATAACAAAAATATTACATAAATAAAAATTTAGGTATTACAATTACTCCCAGAGAAAAAATTACCTATCCGTATCAAATTCTTCAACTACAGGATATAACAATACACAATACCTATGATGCACGGACACGGACACGGGGACACGCAAATTTTCAAAAAATAAGGGACACGACACGCTGAGGACACGTTCAGTACATATAATTTTATTTTTTTATTATATGTAAAATTAAAAAATATAAATATTATTTATTTATTTTAATATCAAATATTATTCACAAATTAAAAATTATATACATGCCACTATCTACCACCAACACCACTATCATATTCTATACATGCCACTATCCTTCACCAACACCACTATCATATTATATACATTATCACAAATTTCCAGCAGTATATATATTATTAGTATATAATATATAATAGAATGGAAGATATAGCGATCGATAGTAAAAGGAGAGGGCTGAAACACCATAGCGAAAGAGAGAGAGAGAGAGCAGAGAGGGAGACGACACAGACAAGACGAGGAAGACGACACAGACGAGGCAAACGCAACGAAGAAAGAAGAAGAAAAATGAAGAAAAACAAAAGAAAAGAAGAAGATCGAAAGGGATTTGAAGAATCGAATAACATACCTAATCCAGAGCTCCATTTCAACAGGTTCTTCAACCCCCCTCTCTCTCTCTCTCTCTCTCTCTCTCTCTCTCTCTCTCTCTCTCTCTGTGTCTGTCTTCAACAGGTTAGGGTTTCTCTCCCTCTCTGTCCATAGTGTGTTCATAGCATGTCCAAGAGTGTCCAACAGAGTGTCCGGTTACAAAAATTCAAAAAAAAAGGGACACGTTGGGTAGAGTGTCAGACACGTGTCCACCGCGTATCCGACGCGTGTTCGTGCCCGACACCCATACGTTGCCTTCAGAGACGTGTCCGTGCTACATAGCACAATACACATAATCAGTTAAATTGCATCAATTGCATAAACAGAGAGAAATCAAATCAAATTACGAAAATTAAACCAAACACAAAAAACGAATACACGGTAGTGATAATACGCCATTAAACTTAAGGCTTCAAGATGCAAACTTTCAAATGAAAATAAATAAAATAAAATAAAATAAAAATAAACTGGTGGGTTCAACATGACGGTTTTGGAAATCATGCAAGGGTGTTCTTCAATCAAGTTTCGTGGATTTATTTCAAAAATTGAAGAAAAAGAGAGAAAATTTACTTTATTGATTGACAGAAAATTTGGGAGTGACGAGAGTGGGGACGATAGGAGTAATTGGACTGCCGAAGCAATTCGCCGGAGTAACTTCGTCGTCTACGTCTGAGAAGAGAGGATGAGGCACTTTTTCTGGTTGAATGGGAAACTATGAGAAGAAGAGGAACCCTAACCCTAACCTGTGACATTTACACCAACCCCTCTCAAATTTATAAAATTACAAAAACAGAGTCATTTTGTTTTAGGTAAATTACACTCACCTCTCTTGTAGTTGATCTCGCTTTTAGTTAGTACTAGTTAAAGGGCCGCGTGCAAGGCACGCTAACTAATGCCCATCTAGTGCCCATTGCATTTGTGTTTAGAACTGAAATTTATAAACATATTAAGTCTAGAGTAGAAAATTATACAGAGAGAAAAACGTTATGTACATATAAACTAACTTAAAATTGAGCTATCTGTTTAGTGGAAAACAATTGCAAGGGTATTTCTCTCTAAATTTCAATATATCACAAGAGATAAACATAACCGGTAATACTCAAAAATAAGTGTAACAAAATAACTGAGGCCATTTTTCACTTGTAGACTTGGAAGGGTGATCCTCATGGTGAACTAACTAGGAAAAGAAAAAAGAAATATGACAAAATAACCAAGGTCATTTTTCACTCGTAGAATTGGAAGGGTGATCCTCACAGTGAACTGACTACATTTTAGATAGAAGCCTTCTTAGCTTGGCATGTAGTTTTGATTCGCTTACTTGCTCAGCCATGAAAAAGAAAAGAAAAAGTTCATAATGAACTCAAATATTCGCAAGAGGGAAAAAACAATTCATAATGGTTGCTGAAAAGATTAACAGTAACATAACCAAGGTTATTCCACAGATTTGTTTTTGAGCGGCAAAAGAAAGGGAGAATATATTACAATGATCTAGGAGGGAAAAAAATTGCATCATTGTCCAAAACACCCCATCCCAACTGTGTTGGCATCTAGTGATGGACCAATCATGTGCACTCCTAGCAGCAAACAAACAAATACAGACAGAGTTGATAAGGATTCAACTCAAACCAGCAATGAATGCAACACACAACAACCAAGCTTAAACAGCAAGTAGAAGCAGTTAAACTGTTACCACGCCTTTCATGCAATCAACCAGTTCTCTTAACTCAAGGTTTGGTTGTACACTTTGAAATACACATTCATTCCCTATGTTTTGAGCACATTCATTCAAGTTTTTTGTGATCAAAACCAGTCGACCAGTGTAACAGCCCATCAACAGACCCAGGTATGAAATACACATTCAAGTGTTTTTTAAAATGTATTTAAAAACAAAAAACAAAAAAAAAATAAATGGCCAGTCAACATTAAGCATGAAAATTTAATCGGTATTACTAAGTTTGCATATTAATTTAAGATATTTGGTAGAAGAAAAAAATAAAATAATCAATTGTGAAATAACTTCTTCCAAACATCACATTTCTCTTTCCCACCTCCCAACATGTAGACACAACAAAACATGTATTTTTAACATAATTAGAAATGCACTGGATAGATAAGAAAAATGAAAACAAAAGTGCAATTGTGAAATTATACCAAATGTTTTAGACTTGCTCATTCAAAATGCAAACATTTGTTTGTTAAAATTAACAAATTGTTTTCTAACTTAAAAGTAGCCTACTTCATAAAGGACACTTTTTGTTGTATAATTTATTCAATGCAGCTTTTGTTTTGTCTAAGTTGAAATAATGAACATATGATACTTGAGATCATTATAACGATTATCTGAAATATTATGTGTGCAAATTATCAAGTAACAATTACCATTAATTTGTGATTTTAGAAATTATGATAGCTAAAAGTTAGAAGGTACTCACCTTGATCTTGTTAATCCTATGTATTTGGTAAACTATATTGTTGTCACAAAATCCATTATTTCCCTACTGCAATAGAGACCAAGAAAGTGTAATCTTAGCCTACAACTCTCTCAAATCCTATATTTGTGCGCACATAACCAGAGAAGAAGAAATGAATATCCATGTCTAGATGATTGCTATTATACACCTAGAATTTGTTTATTAAATGATTCACAAATGAAAAACAAATATGAAGCAAGTAACAAAATCTACTAAAGGTAACTGAGGAAATTATAAAACTTATTGCAAACTCACATCACAAAGAAATATGAAACCACTAAATATGAAGCAAACCATTGGCCAAGACTCCAATGGCTATGTGTAGTTATCCTCACATTTCTATTTAACCCTGCATAGTGGCCCAAGGCACTGACCCCCAATCAAATTAAAACATGATTCATACTAAGGTGGTATAATTCTCTTTTATGAATGAAACTCAAACAAAGGTCATTTCCAAACCCAAAAAAAGAAAAAAACAATGAAGAGAAAAGATTGGATCTTTAACAGTTCAAATTGACGTTTAAAAGTGATCTTAAGAAATTGTTGACGTTTATGGAACATGTAAAGAAATAGAGTGACACAATTTGTTAGCTGATGAACATAAGGAATACGAAGCCAAAGCAAAACCACCCCACAATTCTTCTAAATAGAAACAAAAACAAAAGCAAGTTGCATAAAAAAATCGTGAGAAACAAAAATGAAAAATAGGCAGAAAAATAAAAATCAAGACCCCCTTACGCAGCAACCAAAAAAAAAATGTATAGGATCTGGAAAAAAGGCAAAAACCCTAATTTTGTTCGTCGACCTCTCATAGAATTCCCATTTATGATCAAACAAGGAAGACAAAGCACAACCACCACACAACCCTTCAAAATAGAAATAGAAATAGAAAAAAAAGCAAGTAAACAAAAAAAATTGTTAACAAAGAAAAATTAAAAATCAGACCCCCTTTCAATGCAAATAAATAAATAAATAAAATAATGTACAATAGCTGAAAGAAGGCAAGAACCTTAATTTTGTTAGGCAAACTCTCATAGAAGTTCATGATCAAAGCAGGAAGACGAAGACAAAGCACCCCAACCCCACAATCCTAAAGCAAGTAAACCAAAAAAAAATGAAAACCCCCATTTTATGCACCCCAAAAAAAAAAGCATAATGTTTAGTACATGAAAAGAAAGAAGAAACCTTAATTTTGTTAGCCAAACTCTCACAATACCTCCGTTCATGATCAAAGAAGGAAGATGAAGACAAAGACAAAGCACAACTACCACACAAAGCAAGTAACAAAAACAGAATTGCACCAACAAATCAATCATCTATTCAATTCCTCAAAAATCAAAGATAGGACAAAATACAAAACTTTTCCAACAAGAGAATTAGCAAGAACATACTTGTTGGTGAAGAGAACTATGTTAACCTACTATTTTTTGACCACATCAGTGATTATGTGGCAATTTGTCTTCCAAGTATTTTATCAAATAATTCAAGCACAAAATTCAAACACTCAATGGATATTATCTTTGAAAAGAACAAAATCTCCAATATTCAACCTAAAGAACTAAATTCCATCACAATATTGATTATATGTTTAGTCTGTCAGAGCTAGAATTGGGTTTTAAAGTTCAATCGTTGGCATTAAACACGTCTTCAAAATTCATTTCAAAGCCAAATAGGAAAACACCAAAAAAGTTTTGAATCACACAAATTGAGTTTTTAATTCTTTATTTGCACAAACCCTAAACATTTAACAACATATAAAATCCATAAAAATTAACTAAGAAATAAAAAAATATATTATAGACAAAAATTACAAAGCTAAATAATAAACCCTTAAAATTTTCTGAATCACACAAATTAAGTTATTGATCTACACAAAACTCAAAAATTTAGGAGTCATATCTGGATGAATGCCCAAAATAAAAATACCCACACATCATGGTAATCATAGAAGCCAAAGAAAATGGAATCGATAACAAGAAGAACGATAGAAAAATCAGAACTTACCCAAAAACATTGCAGCACTTGCTTTATTTTGTACACTTTGATTTTCAAATAAGAATATAATTTTTTTTAAAAAAAAACAAACAAACAAACAAACAACAAAATTTACCGTATCAAAACTCAGAAATCCATCTTCCAAAGACCCTCTGTAGAAGAAAAATCAATTTCTTTGATTGAATCTGAAGATATGGCTTGAAACTGTGGATTAGCTCTAAAACACACAACAAAATCATAATGAAATCAAACATTTAACAAAACAAAGAACAAATAAGGAAGAGAAAAAATAACAAAATCGCAAAATTTACAGTATCAGATCTCAAAAATCCATCAAAAAACCCTCTGTAGAAGAAAAATCAATTTCCTTGATTGAATCTGAACGCAATTCCAAGTCAATAAGTTATCAAAGAATTTTTCTTTCACAGTGCAAAAGAAAAAAGAAAAAAGAAAAGATAAACAATTCATTCCTATGCTTGAGACTGAAAAGAAAAGATTAATCTTGGATTAAAAGATAATAATTTGAAGAATTCTTTTTAAAATGAATTTTTTTAGTGTACTAAAAAAAAAATCTTAGACTTGACTCACTGTTTAAGGTGATTGGGACTTTGTTCAGAGAAGGCCTATCAAATTAGTATTAGTCAACAACTTAGATGTTTGGAACTTTGTGCAACTATCATTTTCATAGTGTTTTCTATGTTTTTGGTTGTCTTGGTTTGTATGAAATGTTGTGAAAATGTTCAGAAATATATATTTTTTTGTGAGTTTCAATAGGAAGTTTTTCGTTATTGTTTGGAGGGAGCCCATTCAAAAGATAATGATCATGTCAAGGATTTTACGGTTACAAGTTCTGCTACTCATGATATTGTTGCAAATGTCTCTTGTGAAAATTCTGGTAGTTTCCTACTGCAAAACAAGTTTGGTTATACGAGCCCACAGGCTAGTGGTCTAATGTCCTTATATGGAGGTAATATTACAGTCATCAGTTTTTCTTTTTCTTATCCTTGTTTTTTCTTTTGCGTATTTTTTGGGGGAAAAAAACTGGCTACAATATTTTATTTTTTGTTGTAGATTCTGTTCACCCTCCTACCAAGATCAGAGAGTCTTATTTTGAAGTAGGGCAAAACAGGCATGCTGTTCCTGAGTCTAATAATACTATGACTTTTGATGTGGAAGAAAGAAAACTTAGTAATTCTGCTGGTCATTTGCCTGGTGGAAACGGTGCTCCATTTTGGCCATCTGAATCTCGATCTACTGCCTTCAGTTTTGATCTCAGAAGTTCATCTGATAATCTGCTGTTGTATCCAGACATAGCTGAAACTAATACTAGGAGATCTCGTCCATCTTTCCTTGATTCTCTGAACATGCCAAGTGCAACATCTGCTTCTGAGAAGCCATTTACTGAGACTGAAACTACTCAACCTTTCTCAAAGTGGAAGTCTTCGAATGTGCCTAGTGCATTGGAGCATTCAAGGACCTCATCAATTTCTTCTGGACATGGGGATGACATATACAGGCATACTGTCAATGACAACAGCATGGAGAGGAAATGTGACTCTTAGGCAGAACTTTTGATGAAAAACTGTTTATAAATTCTTTAGATCATTGTGTTTTAACAATTAATTGTGTATTTTTTCATTAGGAAAAATATTTCGAGGGCCCATTGGGATGATGAGATGGGAATGGCTGAGGTTGTTGGGAAGAAGGGTAGCATGTAGACAACAATAGGAATAGTCCGCAACAGCAAGATCTATTGCTCAATTGAAGAGACTCTGTAAGTGATGTAACGATGTTCTTTGAATTTTCCACTCTTATCCTCATTGTAATGGTGAAGGCACACTGAAGATCGAAGTGATTATCAATAATATAAGGATTGATGAAATTATTTGATGTTTACCCTCCTAATAGCAAATTTAGAAAGTCATCTCATGGCAATCCAAGTTTCGCTCTCCGCATGACCAGGTAATAAATATTGTTGATATTTTGAAGTTATATTATGCCTCTGTTCTCTTCTTGTTGCTGTCAATGATGTTTCAATTTCACTATTTTCCCCTTCATTTTATTTTATATCTACTTGGTGCTGTCTTTAGGTTGTCTTTAGGTTGTCTTTAGTGTTACCATTCAAATTATACACCCATCATAACATCATAACCCTGCTTTTCTGCTCTAACCATACCACAATCTAACCCCAAGATCAGATTGTATTATATATACTGTTAGAAGACTTCACAATTGTTAACAAAAAAAAAAAAAAAATAGACATTTCACAAGCAGACAACCCAAACTTCAACAAAAAAGGAGGAAAAAATGACAAATTCAATCTGGTTCAATCTGTTTTTTGCAACTCAAAAAAACTATTCCAAAAAAAACTATTTTCACAAGAAGAGAAAAACGATGAACAGGGAAGAAAAAAAAATTAAAAACAAAAATCATATATTGTATGTATGAAAACCCTAAGTTCTAAAAAACGAACCTGAACGATGGGAGAGAGGAGTGTGAGAACTCTGGCAGGAGGGAGAAGTGCAAGATCTCGTTCGTTGCTTAGCTGAAGCTAGAGGACGTCAACAGTGGCGGTACTCACGGATGGGTCTTCCTCCTCCGTCTCCCTCTCTCTCTCTCTCCTCTATTTGTGTTTTAAGCTTTAGAATAAGGAAAGAAAAGATACAGAAAAAGCGGCAAAACAGATATTTCAACACCCGAGAGGTTACTGTTCATCCGAGGCTGAAAGAACTGTGCTTCATATATATTGTATAGAAGGTTGAAGTGACCGAATTAGTGTAAATAATGTAAAATTATAATAATAAATAAACATATATATATATATATATACTAGCGGTAACTCGTGCGATGCACGGAAAAATAGACTATATATATTTTGTGTGATAAATAAATCATCTTAATCTTAAATTATATCTTAATAGCGACAAGTTATAATATTAAGTCATCTAGGTAGATGTTAACAATAATTATTTTTAATAACTAATAGAAAGAATCTCAAATTATTACTTTTTATAAATATAGTGAAAAAAAATAATTTTGTGAGATTTTTGTGCTACCTTCTCCCATGTAACCTTTATTATTTCATTATTAATACTATTCTCATTCAGAGCGGTAATTTTTTTTTTTATTTATAATCTTTATCATTTGGTAGATAATAACGAATAATAAAAATTATCAAGAGAATGTTAAGAATTTAATAGGAGATAAGAAGTTATAGATAAGAGCATTTCATAGATAAAAAATTTTAAATAAAAAAAGATAATATGTGATAGGAGAAAAAAAAATGAGTAAATCAAAATAAAGATTTAGATATATATGTTTTTGATAGATATATAGATTAACAAATCATATCTTTATCTAAATTTTATTATTTTAATTTTTTGAAATCAATTATTTAATCTTTATCTTTATCTGTATGCCACGAAATTAATCTTTATAAATTATTTATCATTTTTATATGTTTATTTATCTATAAGTCATTGAAATTATTATTTTTTAAAAATAATTTTTAAAATTTTTATCTTTATCTATAAGTCATGAAATAAATTTTCATAAATTATTTATGAATTTTTATATGTTTATCTATAATGAAATTAATTAAAGTACGAAATGAGGGGCAAAAAAAAAGTGAGTAATTTTGTTTTTTTTTTAAAAAAAAATCAATTATTTAATCTTTATCTTTATTTGTAGGCCATGAAATTAATTTTTATAAGTTATTTATCACCTTTTATTTGTTTATTTATGGGAAGAAATTTTAAATTATCTATAAGTTATGAAATTAATTTTTTAAATTAATTGTTTTTTTTTATCTTTATCTGGAGATTATAAAATTAATTTTCAGTTTTTATATGTTTATCTATATGGAGGAATTTTGAAATTCAAAACTTTATCCATAAGTAATGAAATTAATTTTAATTTTAATTAATCAAACAAATAAAAAATGAAGAAAAATAAAAAACATGAAAAGCAATCAAAGAAGGTTGCCACATAGGAAAGAGAGTGTTTTAAAATTATGAGAATTTAGGAAAAAATATTTGGAGACTTTTGACAAAAACAACTACATTTAGTTATAGATATAGTATAGATTTCAATGAAAAGGATCTCGCTTTTAGTTAGTAAGGTTAAAGTAACCGAGTTAATGTAAATAATGTAAAATCATAATAATAAGTAAAAAAAAAAAATATATATATATAACATCATCATGTTTCAGCAATATGCCAAAGCTATGAAATTTATTATATTTTCTCCAAATCTCATGAGAGAGATGAGTGTAATTTATTTTTTTATTTTTATTTTTTTTTACCACGTTGATTTCGCTCATTTAGGGCCTTAAAAGCTCAACTTGGGCCTACTCAATCGTGGTCAATCCCACCATGGTTTCGTTACCAACTTTAGATGTATGGGCCGCTCATGTTAACTTGGGCAAAAAAATACAAAAAAATGTACTGAATTCTTGTATTTTTTTTATATTTTTGGTATTTAGTTAATTTTTAAAAGATTTTTTTTTACAATTTGTTTATTTTTTAGGTGTATTTATTTTAGGTGTGTCTAAAAAGTAAAAAAAAAAATTTGCTTAAAATATTTAAAAAAATTCAGTAAAAACAAAAAAAGACGGAAAATAAGAAAATAAAATTTTTTGAAAAGTATTTTTGAAAAAATAAAACCAAGCAAGCTGATTATTTTTTCATTTATATTAATAATGAATTATTTATGAACAATAAATTTTGTTTTGTTTTGGATATGACTTATAAGTTGACTTTTTTGTTTATTACGAAAATACATAAAAAAAAATAGAGAGATAATATAACCCAAATAAGCTAATAAGCTTTTAGATGTTGTAAAAAAAGGCCTAAGTATTAAGTGACTTAAAATTTTAAAGAAACTTATCTTTTAAGTGAAAACAATTCTTTGGGGCTAACGGATTAGGAGAAAATTCTTAAATTAACCATGGTGCATTTGTGAAAAACTTCTCACTACGGGCTTGTGTACCCTTGTAAATTAGTAGGGGTTTGATCCAAACACTTTGATGCCAATAAAATAAATAAATAAACTCAATGTAATTAGGATAAATTATAAATACATTCCTTGATATTTGCTTAAAATACGATTTGTCTGTTATAGTTTTAGAAATTACATCTCGCCTTTTAAAATTTCTAATTTCATAATAAATGGCTAATTTTATGAATAAATTATCAAGTTAATTAACAATTTTGAATAATGTCAGAAATTTATTTCAATTAATAATTGAGTTAATTATCTAAAAGTCTTGTTTACAAATGTTAGGGTAGCTCAAATCTTATCTAAGATTTTTTTGAATCAATAAGTCCTATTTAGTAAAACTGAGAATATTATCAATTTTTCCCAATTTTTAAAAGGGAGCTTTTTCCATAAATCACATTCCTAACAGTTTTATACCATAAAATCTAAATCATTTTTTTATTATTCCATTAGGTCCCATTCAATGTAGCAAGACCAAAGTACCCTCCCTCCATTTCTCCCGCGTATACTCCATTCTAAAAACAAACCATTCCTATTCCATCTCTTCACTCCACAAAATACTAATTTCCCAAAAAAAAAAAATCATCGTTGGCCCCAAAAAACTCCCAAATCGTAACCCTAGATTCACGTCGTCTCACCACCGTCATCCTCCACCGCCCACTGGCGTCGGCTACTACTATTCCACTTCATCTCACCGCTGCGAAGGTTTACATCGGAATGAGGGTGCTTCGTTGTTCCGTGTTTCTCGTCGGTCGACTGAGTGTGGTCCGTCGATTTCCATACCCACCCACAATGAGAAGCAAAAGTAAGCACCATCATTCCACCCTCTATTTTTTTGTCAGTGATAATATAATGTAATCACTTTTGTATATATTTACATTGCCCTATTATTATTGTTGTTTTTAGATTTGATTTTGTAATGAAATCCCTATTTTCATTCTTTGTCCATCTTGGTGATGTTGATTTTTTTGTTGAATATGAATAACATTAAGAAACAAATGCACAATTTGCATCCTTTCCACCCTTTATTTTTCAGTCAATGATAACATAATGTAATCACCGATGTATATATTTACATTGTCCTATTATTATTGTTGTTTTTGGATTTGATTTTGTAATAAACTCCCTGTTTTCACTCTTTATCCATGTTAGTGATGTTGATTTTTTTATTGAATATTACATTCATTTGTTATTAATGTTGTTTGTGGTTGTGATTTGGTAATGAACTCTCTTGTTTTTTCCCTCTGTCAATGTTGGTATTTTTGATTGTTAATGTCTATAGAACCCCCAATCTTCACCCAAAAATCTGATAGAATATGATGTAAATATTCACATTATGACATCAATGGCAATATTCACATTATGGTTGTCAAAACTCTTTTGGGTCAATGTGAATTCCATTATACATAATGACAATATTTACATCAGATTGTTAAATATTGGTAATGACTTGTTCGTCTTAAATTGTTATGTGTTATTGTTTTGTAATACACTCCTTATCTCCTCCCTTGTGTCAATGTCAGACTTGTTGGTATTGTTGGTTGTTAATGGTCATGAAATAATTACAGTTCAAACTTTGGATGGTTACCAACCCTGTTTTGGTTACATGTGAATTCTTATAGGTATGCTGTAAATAATAACATCATATTGTTTCACTTGTTATTGATTAGCATCAATGTCAATATGCACATTTTGAACATAATATCAATATTCACATTGTGACATCACTGGCAATATTCATATTATGAACATAATATCAATATTCACCTTCTGACATCAATGAAATATGATGTAAATATTTATGGAGCTGTTGGTATTGTTGCTTGTTGATGGTTATGAAAAAAATTAGAGCCCCTAATCTTTGATGGTTGTCAACCCTCTTTTAGTTCAATGTGAATCCCATTATATATAATGTCAATATTTGCATCAGATTGTCAAATATTAGTAATGACTTATTTGTCTTAAATTGTCATGTGTTATTATTTTGTAAAACACTCCTTATCTCCTCCCTTGTGTCAATGTCAAACTTGGTGTTGTTGGTTGTTGACAGTCATGAAATAATTATAGACCAAACTTTGGATGGTTGTCAACCCTATTTTGGTTACATGTGAATTCTTGTAGGCATGTTGTAAATAATAAAATCTTATTGTTTCACTTGTTATTAAATGACATAAATGTCAAAATGCACATTCTAAACATAATATCAATATTCATATTCTGAATATAACGTTAATATTCAGATTGTAACATTCTGAACATAATGTTAATATTCACATTGTAACATCTTTTGGTTCAATATGAATTTCATTATACATAATGCCAATATTTACATCAGATTGTTACATATTGGTAATGACTCCAAACCAATGACAATATTAACAACACAAGATCGTAACCATCACAGACATTTACATCATGTTTTGTTCTTGTGGATTTGTTGTTGTAATGTGTGACTATTCTCATCTCTTTATGTCAATGTTGGTTTGTCATGTGCTATTACCTCTTCATGTGAACATTTACACCAACTATTCATATCATGACCCAAACCCGCCCCCCATGGATTAGAGTCATAATCGGCCAGTAATCATGAGATTACCTACGGCCTCAGTCAGAAATCAAATCATATTTAATAATAGGGTGCCAAGCTGCAGAAGCAA